AAGCTGCAGGCACAGGACATGAAACCTGCCTTATCTACACGCATGTCGAATCCAAGCAAACACAGGCTAGAGCTTGGCTTCACTAAGTGAATGGAGGCAAACGCGGCCCGTGAAAAACCTCAGAAACAAACGTTTCCATACGAGTAGCTGCAGACATGGAACCGCACCGGGGCAGGATGCTGAGCTCCCTCCCTTCACTGGGATGGCTGGTGCATGGAGGTGAGCGCCAGGGCCCACAGACATCTGACACTGATAAATCACCAGGAGGGAAGCTGAGCACACCAAATTCATTCCACCTCTTGCTCTAAGCAGGAGATCTGACGGCTGTGGGTGGTGGGTTGGGAGACGTGAAAGGTCACTGGTTAATTCCCGGTAGCCAGGCTCAGAGGAAGGGGACGAGCAGGGACGCCGAGGCAGGAAGGCAAGAAGGAGCCATCCCTCTCGGCTTTATCAGCAGGGAGAGCGCTTTCCTAGGATCTTTAGGAATTATGAAAAATAAATCATGAGAAATTAAAAAAAACCCCAACAGAGTAGAAAAAGAATAAAATTATCTAACACCTCAGCTGCACATCATTATAGAGAACTGTGGGCTTTTTATACGCATTACAGTAAGGCAGCCATCCCCACTACCACACTCAGTACGACGGATCAGTAATTGTTTTCATACACTTTAATTAGAAAAACTCAGATGGCTATGAATAATAATGGAAAAGAGAGACTTTTGCACTTGAAAGGTTGAAGTCAATCAAGTGTGAATGACGGCAAAAAAGAAAAAAAAAAGACACCAATTCATCAGGCCTCTGTTGTCTCGCCGCGTCTTTAATCATAATTCCTGATTGGGATTCAAGAAGGCAGTAAGCAGCGGTTCTTTGTCTGCCTTCACCTTCCGTCAATTAACTCTCCCCGAAATATAATCATCAACCTCACATGCTCCTCTGCATCTTAATCTGGGTCTCCAAACCAGTAAGTCCTGCCCTATATGTGTTTAAGTAATTACCTTTATCTACCTGCATCTCCATAGCCACAGTCCTCACCCTACTTCTTCCCCTCCCTCCCCGATAAAAAAAAGGAAAAAAAAAGGGGGGGTGGGGGAGGGAAGGCTATGGTACATTAAATTGCTACAGGCGCAAAATCCCAAAAGGCAAACAGGAAACAGCTTGGAAAAAAGTGCAGGAAACTAGAAATTCTGGATACGGATGTAGGGCAGCTGCAGGCAGTGCAGACAGCCACTCGGGGCTGGCCTGGGAAGCAAACCCCTGAAAATAAGGCACTGGTCTCACTTCAGCAACTGGACTCGCTTTTCCTCTACCTGTTCCGCACCTTCAGGCTTCTCCTGAAAGCGCCATCCCTGCCCTACGCCGTTTTCCAGGGCAGGGCTACTCTGTCTCTTCATCCCCACCGACCACCCCCGGGCAGGGAGCAAAGACAAAAATAGTGAAGATAGGCTGCACGTCTCCAATCGTTTTGCGTTTACACTGAATTCCAGTCTGCCCATTTTGAACCACTTGTCCTTTTACATTGCAGACCCGTCCGAGGATACACCGTCTCCTTGTACGTGCGGAAGGTGCCTCGCACGTACTGGCTGCTTTCAATACAAACGACTGGTGGGAGCACCACGGGGCAGGAGGTGCCACCCGACGGACAAACACGGAGCGGTGCTCTGCCACGCAGCATTTCGTACTTCAGGGGTATTCACACGGCATTAACTGTTCTGGAGATAGAGAGGAACGTGTTTATCTTGCGCACAGCCCGTGCTGGCACGTGCGGCTGTTAAATGCTCTCTGCTCCCTCCCACCTGAGCGGGCAATACCTGGCATGGAATCCTGGCACCCATCCGCTGCTCTGCTCAACGCCTCTGTCTCCCTGTTCAAATGTCTCTTCAATGCCAATCGTTTCACAATGGAAACATGTCAGTCAACGTGAATCGTTACTAAAAAACCAACCCTACAGATGCAAGTCCGACAAATGTCATTTGTCTTCTCCCTTCCCCTCTTCTGTAGGTACTTGCTTTGCTCTCTCTGGCATTAAACTGTGTCCCCTTCACAGCTGAACCCACAATCTTCTGGCCCCCAGCCCACCAGCAAAGCCTTCCAGCTTGGACACACCACGCTGTCACACCTGATCCACCTCCGTGCACAGCCCCGAGAGCACCCGTCCCCCCGCTGCTCCTGCATCCGAGGTCTCCTCCAGGTCGCTCTCTCAACGTTGTCGCACAGAAGGCAAATGGTCCCCTCGGCCCACGTCGCTCTTGACCTTTCCATCCAAATGAAACTGGGAGGTGGGGAGAGATCAGCAGCTCATTCTGACTCTGCTCTTTCCGACAGCCCGGCATTCGGATACCAATACGGGGATCAGGTTCTGTTTATCGGTACTTCAATGCCAGAGCCAGTGTCCCCAAGAAAACCCCTAATGCTGGGGCAGGCACTCGGGACGCGCCTGTCGTGCCGTGCCCTGTCCCCGTCCCCATCCAGTTGGTGGGGCAGGGAACTTGCTTGGGTAAAGAGCGAAGGAGGGGGAAGTTTGGGCCAGAGACTGTGGCAGATCCTCCTGTGCCCCACTTTCAAACATCTCCCCTGTGGTCTGTACTGGAGGTGGAAACGCTGGCCAGAGAGCTTCCCTCCGGAGCAGACTGCAGACACGCCAACTATCTGCCCTACAAGATGGAAAGTTGTGGGGACAAGCCTCTCTCCCTCCCTTTCGGATGGAATTCAGATCCCCTTAAGCAGATGAAATTTCTTTACAATGACGAGATCCACTGATGTGTGTGGGCACCCCAATTCCATGGCCATTTCTATCGACTACGTGGTCCAGTGAGTGACTGTTACAAAACACCAACGGGCTGACACATCTCCTGCCTCCCCGCCCCACCAGTATCCTCTGCAGCTCGCACATGCCTGGACACCTGCAGACCCGTCACTGGTCTGGAGAACAACGCGCGGGTCCGCTCCTCACCGGTGACACCCACGGCAGTGACACGAGCGGCTCCTGCCACCAGATTTTTAAGACCATGAACCGCAGAGCCGCTTATCAGCGCGGGCCGGACGCTGAGAGCTGCAACGCCCCTCCCGCGCTCGCCCCGGCAGCGTGACACAAGCGTATTCTCGGCACGTCTGAAAAATTAATCTCAGATAGCGTGACCAGGCAGCTCCCCTGTGCGCACTGGACCCGCCTGCTCTGACCTTCCTCCGGACCGAGCCACCGGAGGTGTGGACAGTCTATGCGGTTCTTTCATAAATGCCCCAAAACGCTGAAATCACTCGGCTCTGAAAAGAAAACCTCTAGAAGGGGTCTGAGGAGATCCATTACTGTCCCTATGTCCATGAACCAGGGGGAAATACACATGCAATGCAAGGTTCCCAACCAGACAAAGGAGGTAATTTCCATTACAAAGAGAGAGAGAGGGTGCTGGAGTGAAAAGCTTCATTAGACTCAGAGAGGCAAAGCGATGGCAGTATACCAAGGTCACTTCTAATTTAGACCATCTAATTGGCAAACATGGCTCCAAATGGCTATCATCTCACAGGGCTCAGAATTAATGAAGCCCGATTATTTTCATTACCTTCATCCGAGATGGAGAATGAGACACAGAGTGAGAGCAAAAGGGGGGAGTGAGAGGGGGCGAGAAGGAGGGAGAGAGAAAAATTGAATGACAGCAGAAGGGAGAGAGCAATGAGAAAAGACAATAGGAAAGAGGGAAGAAATGTAAAGGTGGCGAGAGGGAGAAGCGCGGCTGGCAGGGACGGGCAGGAGTCGCTCTCAGAGCGAGGGAGAAAAGAAAGAGACGGAAAGACGGCTGGAACACCGGGAAGACGCCCTAAGCTGAGGAAGAGAAAACTGACAACAGGAATGATGGGAGAGGAATGTGCAGAAGGATAACGGTGGCCGCAGGAGGAGGGAGAGCTCCCCGCTCCCGGAGGCTCTTGGGAAGCCGTCCCTTCTCCCGGCTTGAGCCCATCAGTCTTGTCAATCGGCTGTGCCGGCGAACCGCACTTCACCCTCATTAAGGGGCTCTCTGCCGAAGCCACGCGGGCCCCAGATTAGCAAAGAGGCTGTTATGTGGAAAGATGGTGATTAGACCCGCTCGGAGCGGCTGAAACGCCACGGAAAATGGGCTCGGCTGCATGCGTTCACCGGCCGCGTGGAAGGGATGCCGCAGGAGACGGGGGGCCGGTGGGAGCCCCTGTCTCCCCCCAGGGCTTCCCCGGCCGTGCACCCAGTGGGGACATGGTGCGCGCTCCCTGCCCTCGGCTGCAGCCCAGCGCCCAGGCCAGCGGGGAGCACGCGGCCCCCCTGGGACAGCCGGCCGGCGGCTCGCTGGGGTG